AATTCAAAAAACAGCATCCTTGATATTGCTTAATTCTAGGTATGCATGCATAATAGCTATAAATTCATATATTGTATGTAATTTAAAACTCAACGGGTATGCATTATTTTAATTTATATATGAAAGGATCTGCATAAATTTAGCCAATCATTTTTTGTTTTGATTCTTTTTTAGAATTACACAATGAATCTAGAATGTTAATCATTACAGTATTTGGAAATTCCAAATTTGGAAATCTCCCTGACTGTAATATATGCGTTTCTATATATTCTTCGGTTTTTTTTTAGGTTTCTTAAAAAAAAAAGTCACAAGATCAATAAAGAAAAATGGCTTTTTTACGAAATTTTATTGGGGAAAAATTTTCTAGAACATTGTTTGTTACACATCCCGATTTAGCAAAATTCCTGACTGTTATAACGGGAGTTCATATAGAAGTCACATGAGAAACATTATCATGTGATTTTGTAATTTTATTTTTATTATATATAAATTTTTTTATTTATTTATTTATTTAAAAAAAAAACCACCTGTTTTTATTTAATTTTTAATTTGTTAAAATTTATGTTATTTGTATATGGCTTGAGGGTCAGATGGTGGTGCTGAGACGTTGTCTAGGGATTTGGAGGTGTTGAGCCATCATATAAATATATGAAATTTTTTTTTTAATTTTCTTAATTTAAAAAAATAAAGATTTTTTTGCCTTAGTATTAATATCTTTTAGGCGAAAAATATAATTACTGATCCACATAACTATAAATTAAATTTATCAAAGATATTAATTAATCGGCTTCATTATCATGAGTTGGTTCCTTTTGTGTCATATGAAAATCCCAATCTAGCAACAAACATCTTGACTTCACCTGTTTTCTTTGTATGTACGTAAACAATTGATTGGCTAATTCAAATCCCAGTGAAGACTGATCGGTAAAAAAACGCGTTTTTTAATCTTTTTGTATAAATATGTAAATCATAAAAAATGTCAACGCATTAAAAGAAAGCGTGATGAAAAGATTAAACGAAAAAATCCAGTTGATGGTGAAAATTTTTATTATATAGAACATCCAAAAATATTTTATTACACGTTTACAATCATTTCGTTGACATTCGTTATATTAAAGTTATTTTGATTATATCGAGAGATATGGTCAAGAGAAGAGATAGGAAGAGAGCTATTTTTCAACCAAGTCGAAAACCAACCTTTAAATACATTTTCGAGTAGTAAAATTTTATTTATTAGACTATTTCAAAGGTTTGTCGCACGATTGCTTTCAACTATATATTTAAATTCAAACCATTTGTGTGATGTTTTTTTTTAAATTCATGATTTTGATTGGTCAATCAACAATTGTGTGGGTTAATAACGTTGTATAATGACAAAAAGTAGTGTAAATTTGAATTTTATCTTGATCGCTTGAAGATGGACATGGACGTAGTGGCTGAATGTAGAAGGTCGAGTTCCGTGCCCGAGGGGAATTTCTCTAAGAAAAAAACGGAAAAAAAAATGGGGACAGTTGTCCTATTTATATGTTTTGGATTTAATAAAATAGACTATTGTCTTGACCTGAGTGATGTCTTTTTTTTGCTCTTTGTGACGAAGAAGACGCAAAACCCAACCTAAAATAAATGAATTTTTGTTCTTGCGTAACACAGCAAAGTGGATGTGTAATGCATAAAAAAGCAAAAGCTCGCATTGCGTTCTCAGTTTTGAGCTTGTTTCTTTTTTGCGCTAAATTAAATGATAACTGCGCGCTATATGACAATTTTGATTGGTCACATAAATCATTCATACTAAAATCATGTGAGTGGTCATAATAAGAATTTTATTTAATAGTAATAATATTATTACATAATATTAAAATATAAAAAAAATAAAACAATAGGTTTATTCCATTACATTGGGATTTTCTTTTAAAACTTCTTCACAATATTTCCTTAATATTGGATATTCTACTTGTCCATTCACTTGTTTAGCAAATTCTTTAAATTTTTGTAGGTTACTAGCTAAGATTGAACATAATTTGCATTCGAGATACTCTTTGAGATTTTTGATTTTCAATAAACTTGATAGCCTTAAGCATTCAAATAATTTATCTGTTTGCAAATCTTCATTTGGAAATACGCATTTAACTGCATTATCTAAAGTTTGTCCATATAAAACTCTAATAATTGTTCTGAGAATGTCCGGTTGAACATTATCTATTTCAGTTAATGAACATGTTGATATTGAGTTTAATTTACCTTGTTTTAAATAATCTTTGAAAAATTCAGAAGAAATTGCTAAAATATATAAATTTGCAGATATTTTATCGTTGTTGATTTCGAATGTAATATTATTAAAAATGGAATCTTTATCAAGATCATTTAATAAAGTTTCGTGGATTTTAAAATTGTTAATTAAATCAGAAGCTGATTCAAGAGAAGGTATTGGTGGTGGTTGTGGGATCTCCAAATCAATTACACCGACTAAATTTAAAAGCTTTGGATAATTCTCCAACAAATATTCAGCAATTGCTCTTTTTTCATCATCAATATCTGATCTAATTTTTTTAACCAGGTGCTTTCCTTCCACCCAATTATTAATTTCATATGGATCAGTGCCATTGAGTATAAGCTTTTGACCATCAAACGATGATTTCAGCAACTCATCCTCATCCTCATCTGTACCACATAATGATTCGAAATATGCATAAATTTTCTCGACTACTTCAAACAACAATTTTTTTTGGTGTTCCCATTTCTCTGATCTTGATAAGTCGTTTGCGATACGCTTCAAATGCTCAATAACTATTTCTATACTCGGTTTCTCGATTGATTGATAGATTTTTAAAATCTTACCATGAGGTACAACCTTTTCCGAGTAAAAGAACTTTTGCGTCCAACACAATTCTAAATTTTTTTTTAAGGCCAAATTGTTGAAACATTCAAAAACTTGTGATTCGCTTGATAATTCAGGCGTATGGTATTTGTATGGAGCATTTAAGGCGCCATTTGATGATATAGGAACAAACTTGATTTTGAATAGAGTATCTTCTTCAGGTATTAAACCACTTTCAATATTAGTATATAAATAATCTAATAGATTTTCCGATACTTGAACTAAATTTTTAATATCAGCGCTGCTTATGTCTGTGCATGACAGAGTTTCTATTTCCTCGGCACATTTTATAAAAGTGTCTTCGTAATATAAATTATGAATAAAGCCCAATGATTTAAGAACTTCCAAGGATTTTGGATTTGATTGCAATTCTGGATGCACAAATTTTTTTGAATATTGGAATAAATCTTTAAAAATTTTATTATTTGTGTCATACAAATCTCTTGCAGAATACAACCTTTCGAAAGTTATATTTGGTAAAAATGATCTTGTTTTAAGATAGTTAATCAAATTTGCATCACATTTCTGAAAAGTTGAATTTAAAATGTTCACGTATTTTCCTTTTAAATCTTCAGTCATATTTCTGCTTATGTATGGTAATATGTCTTTTGTAATATATTCGAATAATGAACGTTCTCGAATACTGAAAATTTTTGCAGTCGATCTATCGCTACTCTTTAGCTTGACAAATCGAACGGCGGTATTCGTAGGAAAGTATGGAATGTCTTCAGGTAATAAATAAACATCACTAGATCTTTGATAAATCGGTGTCCTTGAATAAGTTCGCCAAATTGGAAGGTTTGTTAAAATTTGTTGTATTTCAAGTTTTCTATTATAATTACTTAAATTGTTTAATAAATTTGCTGAAATACAAGATCTAAGATAATCAATTTCATCTGCACTGAGCGAACTAATCCTATCATAACACTCATAATTCCTCAATGATATAATCAAGTTAATATTATTATGTTCCAATACATAACCTTCTAAAGACCTAGTTGCAATTCTTATATTAAGTTTAACCAAAATTTTGTTTAATTTGTCATCATATGATTTTGATAAAGGGTTTTTTCTTCTGGCCTCTTCTAAACTAATTAATTTATTAGACTTAAATTCGTCTGATTCCATTTCATCACAAATTTCAATCAGTGGGAATCCACTTAGACCTGGATCAATATCTTTGCTGTAATTGATAATACGCCATATTTCATCAAGCCAATATTTATTTGGTATTTCCAATGAACTTGGGTTGTAATCTATACAAGAATTTCTTGGTAAATCAGCTTCGAGAACTTTTGATATAGTGAAAGAATCAAAATTTTTAATTTTTGTAGAATTCTGAAATTTATCAGTTTGAAATTTATTATATAAATCAGTCTCTTTAAGCTTATTAATTGATATAAAATGGCCAAGTTTTCCTTTTGGAAATAACTTCATTTGTTCATCAATTGTCATTGAAAAATAATCACCAAAAGTACCAAACGAATTATCAAATAATGGAACCAAGGAAACACCATTAAGATCATAGTTTTCACCTTTTAATATATAATGTAATAATTTAATTTTTAATTGATAACTATAATTATCATTTATGAAATTGTGTTCTTTTAAAACATCTTTAACTAATTTCGCGTTGACTTTCTTATATGGGATATTATAATCATCAAAACTCTTTATTTCTTCACTTTGTAATTTCACTACAGCTATGCCATTGTCCAAAAGATAATCAAAAACGACACTTTCAATTGAATAATCTCCAATATAAGCTTCACTAAATCCAACAAATTTCCCGTTATCTAATTCACTCCAAAATACCTTATGATCTTTTTCGCTAATCAACTTTAAAACATTGCTTCCAAAAGAACTATAATATTTTGTAATCGGCCAATATTTAGAAATAATTTGATGATGCTTTAATTTGTGACTATTATTATTAATATTATCAATTAGAGATTTAATCGATCTGATATAAACAACTGGCAATATTTTATCAAGTATAAAATTATTCCAAACTGCTTTATCATCATGCATGCCTTGCCGTGCGATTTGTATATTATTTCTGTCTGATGATAATTCCCAGCCACATGAATTCAAATTAAATTTAAGCCCAGTTTTTAAAGGCAACGACAAGTTTGAATAGATCTTACCGACTAGATTTGTAGTTGGACTTCTTATTGATTCATAATCAAGTAATATAGCAATTCCGGATGAATGATTCAATTTATGTTCTTTTGAATATTTTTCTAAATTTTCGTCTTCGATTTCTTCATCCATGCCACTAGAACATATTAACCAATTGGTTGATACTTCAAATTTAGCACTGTCTTCAAAAAGTTTTGTTGATAAATAAAATGTACTAGAATATTTGCCAAGATCTGTTCTATAATTTTCATTGGAAATATTCGTTACATCTACTTTCCATTTTAATATTGGTGGAAAGGTTTTTCCCAATTTCTCGTAAACTTCCATTGATTTAATATTTCTAAGAAATATTAATTCTGATAACATCTGATCTCTATATTCCAATAATAATTCTTTGATTACGGAAATATTATCCATTTTTGTAGAAATTAAACTTTTGACTTTACTATTTCTAAGTGGTAATCTAAATAGTGTTCCAGGAAATGGCTTTTTAAATTGAAAAATAGGATCTTCATTGTTTAAAGCAAAGTTATCAAAAGGTTCAAATTGATCGTAAAATTGTTTGATCATATAACTATTGTCTATAAAATTAATTTTAATGCCTGGATAATTTTTTGGTAAATATTTTTTATGTGGATCAAATATGACAACATATTTGCCCGTAATGAAACTTGGTAAATCTGTGTAGTTGTAACAGGAATTAAATCCCAATCCAAATTTACCAATTTTTGTTAAATCATCCCATTTACTACCAGTACCCAGTTCACATATTTTGACCAAATCTTCTTCAGTAAAAGTCTTGTCATTGTAAATAAGAATCGAAGGCCCTTGCCAATGTTCTAAACCATTACCTTTCGATAATAATGATGCTTTTTCTGGGTCTTTATTATATTGACCTTTGTCAATTATTACTGAAAATCTTGTTGCTTTTGCATCATCAGCATTTTGTAAAAATTCTTGAAAGACGACATCTTTACGATAATAATCCTATATAAATATTAATATAATCATTCGTGCATTAATAAAAATACACATGATTATACCATACTAAAAATTTAAGACTTGACAATATTATTTTAATATGTCAATCCTACAATTTTCAGTAAGATATTCTGTGAAAATTTAGTAGATAGATAGATACCTTAAGGATTTTGTTTAATCTATTAGTTAAACGTTCATGTTGCCCGAATTCCTCCAAACCAATGTCTGCATCATTTATAATGACTTCGCTATAATTCTTTATGGAGAGTTTATTTGTGACAACTTTAGGAATTCCATCATGAACCAATTTATTTAATATTTCATCCGATTGTATGAAGTTATTGGCCATGTCATTAAATAAAGCATCTTTTATTTTAACGAAACCATCATTCATATTTGGTATCAGCAATTCTTCGATAGCTAACAATTCTTCCTTCGTTAATGATGACTCCTTGGACGATTTGATTTCAGACAATCTTTCATAAAGTCGAAAAATTTCATTAATTTCAGTATCGTATTTAAATTTTAATAGATGAATGTTATTATTATTAGATTTTGTCTCTCTAGCATTTTTGATTTCTTCAATTTTTTTATTAACCACATATATTATATATGTCACATCTGGTTGATCTTTCACCTATTTTTAAAAAAAAAGTAAATAAATTATAATCATCACAAAAAAAAACCACATTTTTATGGTACAAGATTTTAACTTACTCCCATTTTTTTGAAAAATTTTTTATAGTTACTTGAATTATCATGAGATAATTGGACTATATATCCATCCACATTAAAACGATCAAAAAATAATTGACTTGTTTTGTAGAATTCTGCGCTGTTCAAAACCCAAGATTTATCTTTTAACTTTGACTTAAGCATTTCTAGATTAGAGTCTTCATCAATAACATCGTTAAAATGCTGATAAATGGATCGAACTTTTTTATCGAGCTTTTTTTTTTTATAAAAATCAAAATTTTTTTTATTTTTATCACTATGATATCTTTCGATAGTTATTAATAATTCTTCGATTACTAGACTTATTGGTGGTGGCTCATTCCATCCAAGAATTGCTCTCAATTTATCATTTTGAACCTCATAATCAACGATTGGTTTAGTATGAAAAACCAACGACTCGTATTTTTTATCGCAACATTCACTAGGTTTCTTATAACTCTTTATCTGAGAACCATTTCTTTCAGACTTGACTTCTGGTATCCAACTTTGGTTTATCATTAAGCTAAATAATTGGCTTTTATCTTCTGTTTGGCACATTTCAGCATAATTTTTATCAATATATTTTAATAAGGACAATGGTTTTCCATGCAACTCTTCGTCTAGTTGTTTTATTTTATCCAAATATAAATTCATTCTATCAATCAAATCCTTCACTGTTAAAGTTGATTTAGCTCCCAAGACTTCTATTTTATCGAAATAATTTGGAACACTTGTGTTATTGATCGGATAAATAGTTTCGTTCCTGAAGAATAGATTAATGAAATTTTTCGAGCTATTTTTAGTATATATTTCACTTGGTTTTTTGAAATCTTTCTCAAAATTACCCGTGTCACTAATTTTAACAATTCTAATTTCTTTTAATTTATCCAACATCCCAGCTTGCTTTGACACTAAACTTTCCCATCTATTGAAAATATCCGAAATTACTTGATCCACCTTAGATATAGGGGTAGCTTTGTCCAAGTACGGAAGCACATGATTAAAAAAGTATGTTTTTTGTTCTAATTTTGGAATCTTTAATATATCTTCTAGTATAGGTCGAATATTTTTCGGACATATTATATTCCAAAACTTAACATCAGAACGTGTTATAATAGGCATAGGTTTCTTTTCCTCTTCATCCGGTAATAAGTAATTAATTGTATTGTTATTATTATTTGAGGAGCTTATGATACTTGTATTTAGTAAATTATTATTTAGTTCATTAAATATGCGAAGATGTTTAATAGTATTTTTTAAATCTTCTGAAATATCTTTTTCATTTCTTAATCCATCATTGATATAATCAACAATTATATCGATTTGTTTGGGATTAAAATCAACCTGCATATTATTTGGATTTAGAATATCCAAAACCTTGATTTTATCTTCATTAATATCAATTATATATTTTGTAATACTATATAATAATTCAAAAAATTTTTTTTGATTAATTAATTAATTATTAAACAATAATATATATTCATGTGTTAAATGGGTTACTCACTTTTCCCATCTCGTGATTTTATTATGCATTAAAAATCGATCCTCCAAAAAAACAACACCCAATAATTTAAAGATCTCGGCTGTTTCTCGAAGGCCGTTCTTGGTGTGATCGTATTTTAAGCATTTGGGTTCAGCACTTAATTTTCGCAAGTATAAAGTATTTCTCCTCCGAATTATCAAGAGATGTAGGTCTTTATAATACTTCAAATCTCTGTTTGTATCTACGAAATGATTCCAAATTTTGTAAACCAATTCAACCTGATCATTTGCTCGAATTTCAGGATTTACTGATGAAGATCCAGTTATTGAATTTTTTAGGAAATCAGAAAAGGTATTATCATCAAGGAAAGTAAAATTAATGTTACACTCATTTTTAACAATTTCACATAATCTATCCCAAATTCCTTTTTTAATTTCATTATCTACAACATCTTGCTTGTTGCTAATTAAATGCTGTTCATTTTTAAGGCAAAGGAATTTAGTTGGTTTATTACTTGGTCCAAAGGTTCCGAAAGTTTTGTCACTTAACGGAATTAAGGGTAAATTGTGTAAAGCGCTGACATCTTGTGTTTGGATGACATATTCCAATATTTCAATTTTGGAATCATAATCCCAATAATTTTGCCATTTATTTAAGTTTTTCAATAAATATTTACAAACAAAATCTGGTGTAATATATTTTATTAAGCTTTCGTGTTGAGAATTTTTTAAAGCCTCGATTATTGATTTTGGCATTTTGACAAACAATGGAAACCCAATACTCTCCAAAATGGTTGATATCTTTTCAAAATTTTTATAATTTTCATCAACCAAAAATCCGTTTTTTAAAGATAGATAACCTTTGTTATTATTTAATTCAGAAATTGTTGAGGGACCACGATATATTTCTAAATCAGGACTTGAGAGCTTTATGACATCTTGCAATAAATCCTTCCATAGAAATGATCTAGAGCTTCCAGATGATGATTGGTTGGCATTAATAGATGTTGGCCAAATTGTATAAATATCATCTTTGTTAACATAGTTACGAGACTCCTTTAGAAGCGTCTCCCATGCATTTGGTATAAGGTGTGTGAAAAGATATTTGTTCCAATAAGCTCTTAATCTTGGCAAAGAGTCTTCGGACTTTAAGTTGAAAAAAAGGTTGAAGATTAGATATTATTATATTTATATACGCAATATTCACAAAATTATAAAATCACCAACCAAATCATCATTAACAAAAGCCTCAATATTTCTTCTATTTTTACTAACAGCAAAATATCCGTTCACCAATATTGAAAATTCTTGAATAATCCCGGGTATTGGCAAAAAGCAAAATAAACCACCACTGTTCTCGGTCACATTATCGATTCTAGCTGCAAGCGCAACATTTGGAACGAATTTATAGTCACGAATATATTTTTTAAATTTTTCATAAAAATGATCGTTTGTTTCTTTAACATCGCCCAAGTAATTAATTATTAACCATTCGCTCGAAGAAGATTTGATTTCATCATCGACAAACGATTCAATTTTAAAATTTGCTTTGTAAATCAATTTAATACTCTCTGTGCTGACAGAGTTTTCTTTTTTTTCTACAGCAGATGGTAAGGATTTCATTATTTCTGGAATATCATTTGCAATTCTTCTTCTCTGATCTTTTATTTCGTCATTGTTTGTTAATTCAATTCTGTATAACAATTCTTTTTCTTTGCTGCCTTTTTTGATTTGATAAAATGATATTTGTTTAATTGATTTTAAGAAAATCAAGCAATATATATTATCGATATCATGAAATTTTTTAAACATTTGGAAAATTTCTTCTGGCTTGTAAATTTTTTTAGATATCTTAGATTCTTTTGCATCATCTTCTGTACGTAGAGGATATCTGAATATTGTGCCTTCGTAACCTCCATCTGATGATCTTGGAAAAGGGACAAAGTGGTCCGGATGATTTGATTGAAAATCCGAGTTAACATAATTAATTTTATATCCGCGATACTTCTCACTAAAGTAGCCACGTTCATGTGGATCAAAAAAAATAAAATTTTCTCCACTTATAAGGAAAGGTGCATCAGTTAAATGGTAGACAGAGTTAAACCCAAGTCCCATGGCTTTTATAAAAAAAAAAGCAAAAAAATTTATATATATTTGAATAATTTGATTTATCAATTAAAGGTTATAATTGTTTTCTTACCGCCGATTTTATTATATTCTTGTTTCTTTACACTGTCTTCCAATCTTATTAATGAATGAAAATCTTCATCTCGAAATAAAGAATCATTCAGTGCCAACAGAGCCGGACCTTGATATCTGGAAAGGGCTTTATCATACAAACGTTCTACACCATAAGTATTATAATCCAAAATAAAGTCTTGGCGAGTACTTCCAGCATCATCAGAATTTTGAAGAATTTCCCGTAAGACTTGAGTGCCATCAGGATATTCCTCTAAAATTCTGTTTAAACGTGCTGTATAAGGTTGTTCCGGTTTATAACTTTCAATAACAAACTTTGAATTGTTATTAATATGCATGGCTTTTATTTTTTAAAAAATAATAAATTTTTCGAAGACGAAGAATTTAAAAATGACAAAGGGGAAAAATTTAGCTTTAATATAAAAAAACTATTGTACCTTAAATTGGTTAGATTTTCAATAAAACAAAAAATCAATGATCCAAATGGAGGGAAATCGGACTCCCATTTTCGTTACACGTTTAACAAAAAATGAATGGGCTTCTTTCACAAATTTGTAAAATAATATATATTTAAAATGAATGGATATTTTGGGGTTTTATTTAAATATATTTTTAAAGTTTAACTGCCTAAATAAATGGCAGCGAAATGTCTATTACAATTACTAAAATAGGCTATTTTATATTTTTATTTAGTACTAATATAGGTATTAAAGTTTACTTTTTCACGCCATTCATGTTGTTGGGGAGTTAGAAACCAATTTGGCGATTGCGGATAAGTAGTATTTTCTGGTTTTTATTTTGACAAGATGATATTGAATATATTTTATGTTCTTTAAATTCTTGGTAATTTCAAAAGTGCTTCATAATTAATATAAATAAATGACCAACAACTTATCGAGTTTATCATCATCGCAATTGCCGCCGGTTGTGCAACGGAGCAATTTATACATTTAAAAATAATTACTAGATGTCATTTTCAATTGATATTTTAATGACATTGTATGTATCAATCTATCATTATGTCCTCTAGGGTTTTTATGGATCTTAACGCACGTATCGATAAATGGGTGAACAAACATCTTGATCATTCTATAAATATACAAATAGTTCCCGAGGTTCAAATTATGAACTCAATTATACGATAATGTCAATATTTCCAAGATGGCTCACGGCAAAAAATACAAAAAGAATCTGTCAAGAACTCTTCTTGGTAAATCTCATAAATAGTTTCTTCTTTATCAATTATTAATTTTGGAAACTTAAGAAGCAATTTTCTCATCAAGATGCTTCTGGTGGTATTATGATTTTTTATGGGTTCAATGGCAAATTCAGATTCATATCCTATGTCTAAATTTGCAAACAATGACTGTAACACAGAAAAACGGAATCGACGGATGTTACGTTACATGTTTATATAGAATTCTACAGGCAGTTTCCAAATTTCCAACACTGTTTGGGGAACGTTTCCTAATGAAAATTGTATGACAAATTCCAGTTACTAGAAATTCATTAAAAGTTGATCAAATTGTTCCGAAAATCAGATATCTAGCTAGTAATGAATTAAACTCCTTAGTATTAGCTTTATTAGTGTTTCCTCCAAAATCACATTTCTCCTATTGTCAATTTGATCTAGAAAACTCGCTTAGTAATAACACTGCGCTTACTTTCCTCTTCCCTCCAAATCGCATTTTTCCCTATGGTCAATTAGCTTTGGAAAAAACAATTTTACTTGTTTAGTAATAACACTGCGCTTACTTTCCTCGTATTATAATAATTTGCCTAATTTAGATATTAATAAATATCAGTCCTAGCTCTCAATTATAACTCTACAAATTTAGATCATATTAACCTTAATACTAATCTGAAAAGTTTCGATTAACTCAAACTGCTGTCAAAAGTAGAACTGGCTCGTCCAAGGAGAAAATGAAGTTCGCTGGACAAAGAAGAAAAACGCCAGTCAACAAGTTGAGACACAAGTTCAAAGCAACAACAGCGGGGGATAGAAAGATTTCATCAAGCTATTCCTATAGAAAAAGAAATTACAGCCATCAAAACTAGGGCTTATTGTTATAGTAATGAAGAAAGAGTTTACCATACGACCTTCGAAATTATAGATACAATTTTCCACCTTCATCCTCAATATTACTATTACCTTCTCATAAAACCCTGTTGTTTCGGAAAATTTTAAATTTCGTCAATAAACAAATTTTGTATCAATTTGTTCTTATTATTGCTGCAAAAACAAGAACATGATTTTTAAAGGTGTGTTACGATTAATCATACTTTATTTGCTTTTAAATCTACCTATTTCTCATTAGCTCATTTCTGACTTACTTTTAAATTTACTGCTAAAATGTTTATGAATAGCAATACATTTATAAATTATTATTATAAATAGAAATAGTATAACTTCTCTAATGGAATATTGATTTTCTCTCGATATATGCAATACATCATGTTTGCGTATTTTGTCAAGGTTTTCTATTATTATTATTCTATTGTCACGAGTTGGTTCATTTGGACTATATATTTGGAAGCTTCAATATATCCTAAAGCCGAGGCATAAATATTGCCTTTATATAAATATCCTTTAAAATGAAAAAATTGAAATCTTGACAATCCTGTGTATATTTGCTTAGGGCCTCTAACTTATCATATCTTTGTAACCAAAATTTAATGCAAAAATATTTGAATTATATCATTTGGAGTGTCATATTATATTTCAAGTTCTATTTGCGCATTTTTCATTTCAACTTCTCAATAATTATAATTTATTAATATTAAATAAAAAACGTTTTGATTTAGAACAGTCCGTGACTACTTTTTTAGGCCCACCATTTAGGACTTCAATAAAATAATAATACATAATACATAAATCAATAATGATGGAAAAGATATTATACATTGATATTGATATATATATCAAGACAAGGCTATGAGACTATCAAACGGTTAATTTGTCTAACAAACAAGATATAATACTATTTTCTTCAAATATATGTTTTGTTTTACGTAAGCAAATGTGGCTTTTTAAAAATATTGAAAGAAAAAATTTATTTTTTAGCAAATATATTCAGATAAGTTATGAAAAAATTGATAACTTGCTTTTTTCACAGTAGATTGATGAACTAAAATTAATTGGTTTAGAAAATAACAACCATTAAAATTTACAATTGGTTATTTATCAACACAAATATAAATCGATGAGATGGGGATTTACTAGGAAAATTGTGCTTCAACTAAAATTGGTTTTATTAAGATTAATCTAATAATATATAAGGATTATAAATGGCGAAAATTTAGTGCACGTTTTCTTAATATTTAATATTAATAAAAAAATGGGAATTGGGGCGACAATGAATATTTAATTGTGATATCTACAAGTCTTTTGCCCCATATGAAGTCATGTGATAGGACACCTAAATATAATATTTTTACTAATATATGAAAATTTTCCTTGAAATAAATATGCCTTAAAGTATGCTACAGGAACCAGTGTTTTATAATTCATCATGTGAACTGTAAAATGTATTAAATTCGTGTTGCCCTTCCTTGGAACAGCCATGTGATTCTCCCCAAGGCCGGCCACATCCCTTGCAAACTTTCATGCACCCTTGCGTAGCCGTGCCTTTATCACATTCAGTACAGCGCACACTGCAACCACTAGACATAATATACTCCACAATAGGTATATAGAGCTCCCCACAGCAGGTCCATACAAGTTCCTGTTTCCTAAATTTAAAATAATTGATAATATCATTTACAATTGGGATGGAATCAATGTAACTATGTCCAAATTTCCTGTCACCTATGAAAATATCTTCATTGTCATCTATGAAACGACGTTCAAATTCCCTGCCATCTATGGGTACCAGTTGTCCTGGATGAACAAGTTTCATGTTTGGATGTTTGTGAATTACCTCTGTATGACACGGATACTTATCAGCAAACCTTATGTCAATCTCTTTTCCACACTTGACGCACCTTGCATTTTTAAAGGTGATTTTTATTGGGTTTTCTGCATGATATTTTTCCTGTATTATCTTTTTATAAACATCCAACAACTCCTCCTTCTTGTATATTCCTTGTTCATGTAATTCTTTAGTGTTAAAACGACTAACACGAGTTTTACTCAAACGATCATATAAATACACATGAATGAATGAAGTCTTAGCAAGCATATCTCTTCCCACATTTATGATATTGACAGCCCTCTTGACAGCGTTTATACTTTGCATGTCAATGTTAGAGCCTTCCCCTTTAATGACGATGATTACATTATTCCATATATTGCTTTTTGTTTTACTATTCATTGCAAGAGACTCGATGAATCTCGCTTGTCGCTGAAGAGATTGCGTTCCTCTGTCTCCTTTTTCCACGAACCAAAACACTGTATGAATTTCTGTGATATTTTCATCTTGCAATTTGGTCAGGATGTCAAAGATCATTTCTCTGTCCTCCACTTTTATATCGCTGTCGTCAAATCCAGGAGTATCAATGTAGGTGTACTTATCACTACTGTAGATTGTCACATTCTTAGTCATTGAATCCGGATCATTACCCACCTCTGCATTAAATCCGAATACTGTGGCGGTAAAGCTCTTGCCAAGGCCAGTTTTTCCAACCGCGATGATTCTTATCTGATATGATACACAGATAAAATATAGATTAGCAACGATATATTTCTGTGCTATTTAAATAAGTAGCTTCTAGAGAAGCGTGCATTTCCAGAAAAAAAATTCTTTAATTTCTTACCACAGACACCGACGGGCTAACAATGTATAATAATAATAATAATAATAATTTTAAAAACATCTTTTTCGATAAATATTGTTTCATATATTTCTTTTATTTATCAATGCTAATTTTTGGAATGAGTTTATTCTAATTTTTCAGTGTAGCATTTTTAGCAAAAAATATTTGATGAATTAATTTTCAAAGAGTAACTTTTTTTTTTTTTCAGAAGAGAGCCAAAAATAATTTGACAAAATATTCGATAGATCGAGTTTTAATATTAATATTAACCGGTAGAATGAATGTAATGTAACTACATCAGGAGAACAAGAAATGATATTTAAGTGTGTTACAGTATTTTGAATCTCACGATAATGATTTCCTTTTAATGTAATATGTTCGTTAAACTTTTTTGTTGTAAAGAACTTTTTATTTATTAATAAAAAAAAGGAAATAAATAAGTCAAATAAATCAAATGTATGTTGTAAAAAATATTCTATGAAAAAAAAGTTGTTACACGAAATTTACTTGGCCAATTTTCAGTTTAAGAAAAAAGCAGCCGTTAGTATTTTGAAGTTGACCAATTGTTACTATATACAGTACCTTAGCAAAAGTTTCGGACACCCTAAATACATCATTTACGCAAAAACATACATAATAATTGTACAGAAAATTTATGTTAGTTTATAGCTTAGCTTTCAAAGATTATGAATATAGAATTTTCAGATATGATGGTTTAATTTTATCTGATTCTTGAGAAAAAAATTTTTACATAACTTTGGATAGTATTTTTTTAATCAATTTTTTAAAGATTTGATAAAATTTTAAAATCATTTTTAATAGTAAAATTATATTATATTTTTTTCTTTTCAAAAATGATCGGAGTTTGTTTTTTTATTATTATTTGAGCTGTATAAAAGCTGAGAATCTAAAATTTTAGATTTAAACACATGAATACTAGGATCCAAATAATATAAAATTTTTCGCATAATTATTATGTACATTTTTGTGTAATTAATGTATTTGGGGTGTCTGAAACTTTTGCTAAGGTGTATATATAATGCTTCTTAACAATGGCATATGAATACATTTTGTACCTTCAGTATACTAAGAACTGACCCACTTAGTGTGCTTTCAGTTGTTTACTAACAATACACTGACCCACTTTGTATTTTCATATGCAGTTTTTTTTTTTACTGAAAACAATAAATTTTAAAAAAATTTTTTTCTTTTATTTAATTATGAAATGAGTCAATACAAACAACATCAACATCAACAACATCCGAAAATATTATTAATAGTGATGAAAATGATGGGAATCATTTGATAATAATTTCTTTGCATAATTAGTTCTTTCTAAACTAAATCCAAAAGTTTTAAACAGAGGTTTTAGTTGTTCAAAGGATGGTAGGGAGATACTTGAAAGAGCTTGGCAAGCTGAGATATATTGTAGCTTGTATGAATGCCTGTCAGAAATAAGGTTTCTTGCTGAAACCTCTTAATGACTGCCGAAACTCTAATAAACAATTAATGTGTACCTTCTGAAACTCTGCTAATTGTCAAAATCCCTAAATGCAAAACTCTGAATATGCCAGAACAAGAAAAAACTGCAGATCTGATTAAAATACGAAAATGATTTCAGAAATCTTAATTTTGTTAATAATAAGTATTTTATTAAAATTCTTTATAATATAAAGGTTTCTAATGTTATTGAGTATATAAGATTTCTTATTGGATTTACCATGGAGGTGTTATACAATTTTGAGGGTTCTGACACAATGGCAAATTTTTTGTCGATTTTTGATACATTTTTGATACCATTTTACATCATTCAAGCTCCTTGATATCCATTAATCAATTTCAGATATCTTCCAAAAACAACAACCAATATCATTTCTGAAATCCTATCAGAAGCTAAATAGACAAACAAATAATTACAATAAAATTGATAAAGGAATAAAATTTTCCAATTAAAGATAACATGATAGTATATAAAAAACAACGAAAATGTTTACATATATAAAACAAGCAATAGCAAATTTCTTAAACAATAACAAGGACCCATTTGATGCAGGAGAGCTTCTAGAAGTGCAGGAAATAGTAGAGTATGTAGAGGTAAAAACGCCGCATTTATCAGCAGAATTGATATAGTCACATATTTTTTATTCCTGATTTTTTTTATATTAAAATTAATCATATATAGACACTTTCATATTGTAATTACTATCACTAATATTTGACAGTTCCATAACGTATTACAACATATAAATTTCATCATATATAATCACCAATTCATGTGACTGTAAATATTATTGAATTTTAATAAATTGTTACCATTGGAATTATCATTACCATTATTGTTGTTATTATCATTACTATCATTATCATTATCATGTCTCAACCAAAAAAAAAACAGCTATTAGTGAGCAATTGAAAAAAGAAATTTGTATATATTACCAAGAAAACATTCACAAAACTCATCAAGAAATTACAAATTTATTTTAGTGAAAAATTTCATTGAATATTTGATTAAAAAAGTATGTTTTTTGTTCTAATTTTGGAATCTTTAATATATCTTCTAGTATAGGTCGAATATTTTTCGGACATATTATATTCCAAAACTTAACATCAGAACGTGTTATAATAGGCATAGGTTTCTTTTCCTCTTCATCCGGTAATAAGTAATTAATTGTATTGTTATTATTATTTGAGGAGCTTATGATACTTGTATTTAGTAAATTATTATTTAGTTCATTAAATATGCGAAGATGTTTAATAGTATTTTTTAAATCTTCTGAAATATCTTTTTCATTTCTTAATCCATCATTGATATAATCAACAATTATATCGATTTGTTTGGGATTAAAATCAACCTGCATATTATTTGGATTTAGAATATCCAAAACCTTGATTTTATCTTCATTAATATCAATTATATATTTTGTAATACTATATAATAATTCAAAAAATTTTTTTTGATTAATTAATTAATTATTAAAAAATAATATATATTCATGTTTTAAATGGGTTGCTGTCTTTTCCCATGTCTTTATTTTATTATG